ACAGAGTCAGAAAGTGATATTTGCACACCCATGTTCACAGCAGTATTATTCACAATAGTCAAAAGATGGAAGCAACCTGAGTGTCCAACAAGAAAATGGAAAAAAAAAAAAAAGTGGTATTTTTACACAACAGAATATTACTCAGACTTATTACTCCGAAAGAAATCCTGACAAATAACATGGATTAATCTTCATTAGGCTAAGAGAAATAAGGCAGCCACCAAAGGATAAATCCTATATGATTCTCCTTATATGAGGTACGTAGAGTGGTCAAAGTCATAAAGACCGAAGTAGAATGGTGGTTGTAAGGGGCTGGGAGGAGGGAGAAATAAAAAAGTTATTGTTTACTGGGTGCAGAGCTTCAGTTTTGCAAGTTGAAAAAATTTATGTGAATGTGTGTTAATGACAGATTCAAAACAATGTACTTAATGCAAATTAACTGTATACTTAAAAATGGTTAAAATGATAAATTTTAGGTAAATTTTAAAGATTAGAAAATATTTATTTTCCAAGTAAAAATTTAAAAATAGTTGATTAAAAATTTTTTGCCCAATTTTCAGAGAAAAATCTTTTCTATCATACTTTATATTATCTATGACTTACCTGTTCTTTAATATAAATAGAAGAAAATAAATGAATAGGCAGCATATAAGCATCAATGAAAAACTTTATGAGTTTCACTAGTCATACCTTGGCAGTTCTGGGAATATATAAATTCTCATGGCTATGATTTTAATATTCCAGGCATTCAAAAAAAACTCATTTTATTGTGATTTGAAAATAAAAATCGTCTTCAAAACCAACCAACCAACCAACCAACCACAATTACCCAGTGACATTTTTACCCATAGTGTGACAATCCAGGAAATCTATTTTAATGGCTCTCAGCTGTGTAAAAGGTTATAAGAGCAAGTTTAATTTTAATAAGAGAAAAATTACTTTATAATTAGGAGTCTCCTATTGGGAATAAGGACCCAGAAGTAGAGTTATAACATCATTTCCCATCTTTATGGTAATTTAAAATGTATACAGTAATTTCAAATACAAGATTTCATTTGACCTTCATGTGTATCCCATTAAAGATAGGTTTTAATATAGCCATTTTAAGAATAAGAATACAATTTAAGTGATTTGACCAAAACCAGCTCACTACTAAGAGGCCAGAGCCCAAGTCCAAATCTATTTTTAAATTTCCCTAAACCTTAAATTTAGCTCTCTAGTCGAAGGTTTATTGATCTGTGAGGTATCCCAAGGATGAAGAAATGCCCACAGCTTGGGGATCAAGGGCAGCAGAAAGGCAGGTACAGGGCGCACAGCGCACTGCCTCAACCACAAAGTATGATGCTTGACATGTCTACCACCTACCACTCAGGAGTATCAATGAAAATCAAGGGAAATTAAGTTCAAAAATATTTTAAAAGCAAAGTCACTTGAAAGGCATGATTTCCAGGAGAGTAAGATTCTATGGTCATGGAAACAGTTGAATGTGGAATATGAATGTGTATGCAAAAACAAAAAACCAAAAAACCAAACATGACTGGTGTCCAAAGTGGGTTGGAGATATGACAAACTGATTTTATTTGTTTATTTATTTAAAAAAATTTTTTGGTGGGAAAGCAAATTTGCATTTTGCCCAGGTCCCAAAGAGACACTGATCTCTGAGTTCAAGATGCTAAAGGAAGAGATAAGAGCCTTAATGAAGGAGCTATAACTGAGTGTGCTAGAGGCTGAATATTAAATTAAATACATAATCAAAGGCATAGTGGTATACTTAGCCTAATTCTGGAGGGCACCAAGGAAGGATGGGGCTGAAGGATCTGCTAAGCCTAGACACTTCCTTCATCAGCCCAAGGTTTCACTGCTTCCTGACACTGGAGGCCTGTCTTCCTTTGTTCATTTCAAAAAGTGGGTGGGAGGTCTAGCTGGGGGTTGGCACAGACACTGATGGAAGGCTGTGAAGCCAGCAGTCTGGTTGTCTGGGTGATGGGGACAAATATGGAGGGTAAAGGGCTGCCAAAAGGCTTCCAGCCTCAGGTTCCATTTCATTCATGCATCTGATCTGCAAATACTGACAGAGTGCTGACCCTGCCAGGCAGAGTTCTTGGTACTGGTGGTGCAGTGGCGAATAAAACTCAGAAGTTTCACCTGCCTGAGGACACTGACGTTCTGATGAGGAAGGACAGATGATAAACAAAGAAAAACCAGACAATGTCCTGGTACGTGTTATGAAGAAAAAAGCCAAGAGGCATGACTGAGAGTTCTCTTTGGACCATAAAAGGTCAAATAACACTCAGAAATAGAACTTTCCAGGCAGAATACCAGCAAGCACAATGGCCCTGAGGTGGGAACAGGCTTATCTTGTTGAAGAAAAACAAGATTGAAGGGAAGAGTGCTCTGAGCTGAGGTTAGAGGGGGAGCCAAGGGCCACGTCAGTTGGGGCCTTGTAGGTCACAGTAAGAAGTCTGGATTTTATACTTAGTGACATGAGAATTCACTGAAGAACAAAGAAGCTACATGTTTGACTGAAGTTTTCAATAGACAAGTCTCATCTGACAGACTGAAAAACAAAAAGGACACTTGAAATTCTATTAAAATTTCCTATTTTAATAGTTTTTTTCTTCTTTTTTTGAGATGAGGTCTTACTGAATTGCCCAGGAAGGCCTTGAACTTGCAATTTTTCTGCCTCAGCCCATCAAGCAGCTGGGATTACAGGCCTATGCCACAGTGCCCAGCATTTTTTTTTTTTTGGGGGGGGGGGACTGGGATTGAATCCAGTGCACTCTATACCCTAGCCCTTTTTATTTATTTCAATTTTGAGACAGAGTCTTGCTAAATTGTCAAGGCTGGTCTCCAACTTGTGAGCCTCCTGCCTCAGCCTCTAGAGTTGCTGGGATTATGGGGCACTACACCAGCCATGCCCCGCTTTTCACAGATTTTCCACTAAAATCCAAGAGGAGTTCAAGAGTATATAAAAGTCACTTTGTATTAAAATGTGTACCACTAATACTTTCTTTTTAACCTTATTATTTTATTTATTTTGGTGGGGTTCTTTTTTGGGGGGAGGGGGTCTTTTTTGGAACTAGGGATAGAAAACAGGGCTTTGTGAATTCGAGGCAGGTACTTTGCCACTGAGCTACATCTTAGCCCAACCACTAGTACTTTTGCAGGAATCCTCCAGAATGAAAAAAGTACAGAGGATCAGGAAACAGGAACGAAAACAATAAGGAGGGCAGAATGGCAGTCAGCTGGCTCTGTTGTCCCCAGACTTATCTCTACAACCTGGAGAAAATCTTCTGAGCCCTAGACATGTGCCTCTGGTTCCCCAATCTTGACCCAAAGGACTCCTGTGACAGTTGCAGAAAACAGCTATTTGCCCCAGGGCCCTTATTGTCTATGCTGGGCAAAGAGACCATCTTTCTAGCTCCTGTAGCCCATGAGCCATCTGGGCAACAGCAAATCAAGAAGCTGAAAGTGTGTCAAAGAGACAACACCTCTATAACATCTTTCCCTTGTTGATCCCAGGACTGGCAGAACAGGGAGAAGAGAGGCCCAGGGTTTCATTTCCAATCTTCTGCACAAAATTGTCCAAGTATTGCCAGATATAAGTGAAATGTTTAAGAGAAAAAAGGGCCTACATTTGATTCTTTTCTTCCTTTTTCCTTAACCAACATCTACTAAATCATTCCTTGTTGATTTTAGATATTTTTGAGCTATATCCAGGTGCAGCAAGCAATAAAGTTACAAAAAACTACTGATCAAGGCTGCATTTGCTTCTCTTAGAAGGGTCATCAAATTGCCTAATGAAACAAGAGCTATCTCTGTACCCTTGCTGCAACCTGCCTTTGTTAAGTAGAGGGTAGGAATATCACAATCACTTCAAATCTTGAGGCAACCAATTGAATATCCTTAACATTTTGGGAGAGAAGAAAAACCAAACCAATTCCTAAATCAGTTCAAGGTCAAGACTCAGAAGTGGTAAAATTAGGAAAAAAGGAAAAATGAAGCAAAATGACTGCCAGCTGTGCAAAGGAGTTGAAGTTATTTATTTTTTCATAAAGGCAGACTTTTTTTCATCACAACCCCCCACTTCAGCTACCCTTCCCCCACCAAAAAAAAAAAAAAAAGAAGAAGCAAGGAGGGTAGCAGGAGAGAATTTCTGGCATTCATAAGCTCCAAATGGAAAATGTTCAATTATTATTGCAAAAGTAGTTTCAATCAGAACACACTAACCATTTCTTATTTTTTTTCAGACTGCTTATTTTAAAATCAATTATGTGGAAAATTGAAAGGAATATTTGAATTCCTGCAGTTCAACTTACTTCACACAGAAGGTTTTCAGGTAGTGGTGGAGTCTGGAAGGGAACCTAAGTCTCCAGACTCTCCCTGTCAACTCTTATTATGTATTTTTAGAATATAAAGTAAAAGCACATTACAGAAAATAGAAACTGGACAATTAGTCGCCCACAATGCCATCATCATACTATATCCACTATATATATTTTGTTTCTTTTTCTTTCTTTTTAAAATTTTTTAAGTTGTAGATGGATACAATCTTTATTTATTTATTTTTATGTGGTGCTGAGGAACAAACCCAGTGCCCCATGTGTGTGAGGCAGGCACTCTACCACTAGCTACAACCCCAGCCCCTATATTTTGTTTCTTTATCACATGCTTTACAGGTCCCACCACCACATTCTTTTAATCATATTCTTTCTGATACACAGGCCTCCCAAATTACCATAAACACAACTGAGGATAAAAAAGAGAAGACTGATGAGATGGGATCCAATTTGGTATAACATGAACTAATTCAATTATGTTTGCTAAGGGCTGGTACCCTCCAAGATAAGTCTGTCCCTCTTGCTGAGACACAGTAATAACTATACTATTAGGGCTTAGAATTCAGACCCTTTCCACAGGGCATTTACAATATAATTCTGCAGAGGTCCTAGGACATAAGAATAAAGCTACTTAACCTTAGATCAGCTCTATTCACCCACCTGGTGCATCAGGTACCTGAAGAGGAATGAAAGGATCAGAAACGCTTAGAAGTGGGACAGCAGAATCCACAGTTTGCCCACCCTTCCTTTTCTCAGCTGGTATTGGTTGGAGGGAAAGAGATTAGGAGAGAAAAAAAGAAAAGCAGAAAACAGCAAGTAAATTGAGATGAATTAACCAAATTATAGAGTAAGTCTAACAAAAATTTTTTTAAATGGTACTAGAGATTGAACTCAGTACTTATCTCTTTTATTTATTTTTATTTTGAGACAAGATCTCACTAAATTGCAGAGGCTAGACTTGAACTTGCGATCCTTCTGCCTCAGCCTCCCTATTAGCTGGGATTATAAGTGTACACAAGGGAGTAAGTCTAAATAATCTAGGGTTAACAGCAAAATATCTATGAGATATACTATGTGTTCGTTTATGTTAATGAGATGTGATGAGTACTCAAACCAGGATATTCTTATGCCCAAGCTTCTATGTCTTCCTTGAACACTGTAGCCTATAGGGATCCCTTTCAGAATTCCTATGGGATTATTGTCCATATCATACATTTGGTATGCAGATACTAGCACATGTGTATAACTGCTTCCCCTGTACCTATCACCTCTTGGAGGCCCTTTGGGAACTAAGTCTTGTTGAATCATCATAATATTTAATAAAGTGCTAGGCAGACACAAAGGAAGAGGCAGAAATAGAGTTCCTGCCTACTACAAGGGTTAGATAAGCCCTGACCCCTGGACCATACCTACCCTACTACTGGCATTCATTCTATATTTGGCAAATTACAAATTTCTAAAAATCTATATACCCTAAAGAATATCAGAAGAGATCTTAGAATTTTCTAGCACAATTTTCTTATTTTCCAGAAAAGAAAATGAAACCCCAAATTAGGAGACAAGCCAGAAGTCCACTAGCAGAGCAGAACTCAGGTCTCTTGGTTTTTTTTATATTATACTTCAGTATTCAGCTTGTTCATTAGTCATAATTTCATTTTGCTTTTGATAAAATATGTTTAAAATGTTTTTTTATGTGAAATAATTAAAGAATCAAAGGAAAGTGCTGTAGGTAGAGCCCTGTGAACTGAGCCCCCAGCTTCCCCTAATGGAGACACATACACAACTGTAGGTCAGCATCACTGGCAATGTGAAATACTGTTGCCTAGACTACTCTGTTTTCAACAGTTTAGTTTGGATCTGGAATGTTCCCCCAGAGGATCCCGTGTTAAAGGTTTGGTCCTCTGGTTTGGCACTACTGGAAGATGGTGGAAACTTTGAGAGGTGGGGCCCATAGGGAAGTTTTAGGTCATTGGGGTTGTGCCCTCAGGAGGGACTATGGGACCCTAGTTTCTTACTCTTCCTCCCTCTTGGACATGAAGTGAGTAGCTCTGCTCTGCCACATCATCCCCACCACAATGTGCTGCCTCACCACAGGCTCAAAAGCAAAAGGAACATGTGACCATGAATTGAAACCTCCAACATTATAAGCCAAAATACAACTTTTCTGGGGCTAGGGTTATGGTTCAGTGGTAGAGCACTTGCTTAGCACATGTGAAGCACTGGTTTCGATCCTCAGTACCACATAAAAATAAATAAATAAAATAAAGTTATTGTGTCCATCTACAACTAAAAAGAATATTATAAAAATCTTTTCCTGGGATAGGGATATAGCTCAGTTGGTAGAGCGCTTGCCTTGCATGAAAAAGGCCCTGGGTTCAATCCACAGTACCACAAAAACAACAACAAAAACACCTTTTTCTCTGTATTATTTTATTAGCTCAGATATTTTGTCACAGTAATGGAAAGCTGAGCAACACATACCCATTTCTACGCATAGTCTCTCTTTGTTTTTTAACTTGTTGCCTGCGTGACCCACACCTCTGTGTCCATCACCATCATCACAGTCCTACATGTAGGAGGTCCATATCCATAGCCCTCTGCTAAAGCTGGATACCTCTGCTCTGTTCTTCCTCCATCCTTCCCCACTCATATCTCTGTCTTCTTTCAGATCTCTCTTTGGAGAGAAATCTATATATTTCTCGATGTCCCCTGAATCCCTCCTTCACACCTGTACAGTATTAGGCTGAATTTGGAAGTCTTGAGGACCAATTCCCTCTCTACTAGCCTCTTTGGCCAGGGGCATCAGATGTGTGGCACTTCTCTTCACCTTTCTAAGCCCCACTGTGCCATCTGTGAAATGGGCTTACAAGGATTCAAAGTGTGGGCATTATTGAAGATATATATATGGGCATCTGGCTCTGATCTCCTTCTCCACTGTATGAGGACAGTCCCCTGGGGGTCTATGGGCAGCTATGAAGAAACAGGTGAATTTCTTGCTCTCACTTTCTCTACCCACTAATTCCATGCTTCTCCTAACCAGCAGGCTGACTTGACCTTTTTTCCCCAGCTATATACCCCTGAGAATCAATTCCTGGTACCCTAGCCTCTTGCTCTCCCCTCCCCAGTACCCTGTGTCCCCTGGACAGATTCCACTGCTGTCATGGCAGCCACCTCTGCCACCCCAATGCTGCCTCATTGGTTTGAGATACACAACAGCATGAAAGGTAAAGGTGAGATCACTGGATGAACCACCAATTCTCCCAGTCCTTGGAACCTGGCTCCCTCATGGGTTTCGAGACAGATGATGCCTACCCTTACCCAAGAGGCCACTGAAATGTAGAAACTCAGTGTTGTAAGCACAGACATGGAGGAAGAGAGAGCACATGTGACCCTCACTCAGTATGCATACGTCCCCCATCCCAGCTCACCCATATTTGCAGGAGGTACCAGCAATAGGGAAAGACCATATGGATGTCCAGATGTGGCAGAAGAAAAGGAAGGTGCAATGGTGTACTGCCAGTGGGCAGCCTAGTGGCCTGGGCCAATGAAATGGTGGCAAGAGTGCAGGGGCCTCGGGAGGCTCTTTGAAGGTATCTGTTGACTCTCCCACTCACCTCAATGGCTATGTCTTGCCTAATAACCTATCAGCCCCAGTGTGCTAGCAGTTGCTACCACACCCAGCTCAGTGACTGATACACCAATTATGGACTGTAAGTGCCTGTTTACTCCCACTTGAAGCCTGACCCGGGAGGGAGGCAGAGGAGGGAAGCTCACCTCTGACCTCTTCAGGCATCCTATCCACCCCACTCTTAACCTCCTTTCCTCAGATTTCGAATTCCCACTTTCTAACCCTTACCCTTTCCTTGGATTCCAATATTTGCTAGGATGCCAACCTCGTATCTTCTAAACTCATCTGGGACCCTCAACCTCCCTGTTGCACCTTCAACTTCCCTCACTGTGGCCTAAAACTTCCTTCAAACTCTGTTGCCTAATCTCTGAACTGCCTCCTCCGTGGACCCCTAATTCCCTCTGGCAGCATTGAGCAGTTCCTCCAACCCATGTGTGCAGTCCTTTGCTATCTGGCTCCATGCATGGGTTAGTTGAGCACCACCACAGAACAGTAGCTCAAGCAGGTAAATCCCCTCATTCTTATCCCTTTCCAGATCCGCCTACTTATGAATCTTAGTGTTATCCTCTGCAAATAGCTAATCTGTTCTCAATTGCTATAACTGAATTATTAAAGTTGTTTTTTAATTGGGTTTCTTAAAAGCAGAAGGAGGAAGTGAAGGTAAAAAATCATAGCTCTTAAGCCTCTGAAATATTTTAACATGAGGCACAATGAAACATATTTCAAAGAAAAAAGCAAATTACAAAACTGAAAATACAGTTCTTTTTTTAAAAAAGTAAAAATAAAACTCAAGATACAAATACAGTGAAAAGTCAGCAAACACTATTCTCTTGGAGTGGGATTATGAGGGGTTTTTTTTTCTTTTTTTTTTAGTACCAACGATTGAACCCAGAGGCACTTAACCACTGAGTCACATCCCCAGCCCCTTTCTATTTTATTTATTTTTTAGTTGTAGATGGACAAATACCTTTATTTTGTTTGTTTATTTTTATGTGGTGCTGAGGATCGAACCCAGGGCCCAGCACGTGCTAGGCAAGCACTCTATCGCTGAGAAACAACCTCAACTCCAGCCCTTTTCTATTTTGAGACAGAGTCTCACTAAGTTGCTGATGCTGGCTTTGGTCTTGCAATTCTCCTTCATCAGCCTCTGAACCACAGGGAATAGAGGTATGTCCCACTGTCCGGCTTGAAGGCTTTTTAAATTTGTTTGTCTTGCTGTTGTTTTGTGAACTGAACCCAGGACCTCACACATTCTGGGCAAGTGCTTTAGCACTCCATGAGGTTCCCAGCTCCAGGAGTTTGTTGTTGTTGGTTTTCACTCATGAGTTCTTTTTACTTGTTTCTTTGGGCTTTTATCTATTTCTCCAAATTTTACCAATGCACATTTATCAATAGGCAAATGTTTAATATACTAACACACAATGTGAAGTTTTAAACATTTGCCTATTTCTCCTCTAACACAGTTTATCAATATTTTTGTAGCTTTTACCATGAAAATGTTTAAATAGCCCTGTGCCACAGTACCTAACCCATTATCAAATTTGGGGCACAGTTTCTCTTCTGACTTATCGGAAGGTTTAAAATCAATAACAGCTTTAGCTCAGTTAGAACATTTATAGAAAATGGTGCTATTCTTTTCAGTGCTACATATTAATAAATAAAATAAAGATCTATCAACAACTAAAAACATATTAAAAAAAAAAGAAAGAAAGGGGCTGGGATTGTGGCTCAAGTGGTAGAGTGCATGCCTAGCACATGTGAGGCACTGGGTTTGATCCTTAGGACCACATAAAGATAAAAAAAAATAAAGATATTGTGTCCACCTACAAATAAAAAATGAATATTATAAAAAAAAAGAAAATAGTGCCATTCTATGTTTCATGCAAAGGAGGAAAGATGAATTTCTGGGCACATGAGTTTTATTTCATTTTTAAAGAATGAAGGTATTATAGAAAAAAGTTCACACCTACAAACAAGAAAGAAGGGACAGTGCCAATGTTTACAGAAAAATATGTATAAAATGAGGAAAAGCTTGATACCACTATTTCTTTTGAGATGTGGGTGCCCAGGTAAACATCTCTATCATTCTCTAGCTGTGACTTTGTAGAAGTGGACCACTGTGAGGATCACCCAAGATAATGCACAAAAAAGTATTTACCCAGTCACTTGACATATACCACATGCTCAATAAATATTTGCTGTTATTACTGATATAACTGTACTCTAATATGTGCTTGTGACTAGACCTTCAAGTTCCTTAAAGAAACACTGCCATTTAAGACTTTCAAAGTAAATGTAAAGATAGATGGGATAAGGGACAAAAACAAAGACAAAATAGTTTCTCTAAGAAAATAGTTCACACAAACGATGAAGCATAGCCATGTGTGCAAACTGAAAATTAGGTATATAAATTGGGGGTGTTGGGCTGAGGCTATAGCTCAGTGGCAGAGCACTTGCCTAGCATGTGTGAGGCACCGGGTTTGATCCTCAGAACTATATAAACAAATAAAACAAAGTCATCTGTTCATCTACAACTACAAAAAAAAATTAAATTAAAAAATTAAAAAAAAATTGGGGGTGGTATGCTAGTGGTAGATGGAAAATAATTAAAGGAACTCTGAGGTTAACACTGGTGAATCTAAGCTCCTGTGCTTTGGCAAAAAACCCACCATTTACCTTGCTCTCAATCATTTAGCTTATTTGTACTAAGCCAAATATTGTACTAAATGCTAAGATGCTGTAGCAAAAAACATTCTCTGAGAGCTTATACACAATCCATCTTCCAGGAAAACTCTACCCCACTAAGAACTATGGTGGGTTGTAATTATGATGTTCTATTTCAAGCACAATGGTTGATGCTTTAAACATTTGGTCAACCACCATGAATAACTGGTCTTGAATTTTTGTGTTATTGTTGGTACTGGGGATTGAACCCAGCTGTGCTGTACCACTGAGCTACATCCCCAGCCCTCTTTTTGTTAATGTTTTCAGACTGGGTTTCACTAATTTGCCTAGGCGGGTCTTGAATTTGTAGCCTCAGTCTCCCAAGTAGCTGAGATGATAGGTGGGTGTCACCATACACACCTTTTATATTCCTTAAGTTTTATTTAAAGTTCAAGGATAGCATGGGAAGCTTAGGGAAATCCTGTCTCAAAATGAAGTAGAAAAGGCTGGGGATGTAGCTCAGTGGTAAAGCATTTGCCCCCAGCATGCAAGAAGCCCTGCAGTTAAATCCCCAGTGCCACGAAAAACAAACAAAAAAGACAGAAATGGTAGGTTTTTATAAATCTAAAAGTTGTCTTTAAAAAGATAATAAAATAGCAAACCTTTAGTTAGTTACCAAGAAAAACACAATCCATACATTAAAAATTGATGTACAGAAAAAATACTTCAAAGGGTTGTCAAGAGGGTCGGACAAGATCATACAGAGTACACACGACAAATCGGGAAAATGTTTACATGACATAAGAAGAGCTCCTATAAATTAATAAAGAAAAGAATCAGCCCAGAATATCAAAAAAAGCAAAGGACACAAACAAAATCAATCCCCAAACAAATAAAAATGTCCAGAAAACAATATCCTCTGTCTCTGGGCTGGGCAGGGCAAGGCAATAGTGGGTAAAGTTACTCTCATTCAATGTTGATGAAAAGAAAATATGTATAGCTTTCTTGGAGGGCAATTTGGAAATATGTATCAAAAGCCCTCAAATACAGTATCTTTTAATTAACATATAATCTCTTAGAAATTATTTAAGAATTTATACAAGATAGAAAAAAAGTTTGTTTTAAGAATGCTTACATGATAAAAAAAATTGGTAATAATATTAATATTTAGAGAAGAGATATTTCATAAATGTTACTATTCTTCCATTAAAAAGTTATTTATTAATATTTATTGACATGGAAAACTACAAATTCCCATAGGTCATTTACAAAATGATAAAAATGGACCACAGTCAACCAGTAATAACCTACAGCAGACTGCAAAGACCATACTGATTATAGTGCAGTTAAAACATACCCTAAGTGATTCCTAGTTAAGAAGAAACTAAAACTTCAACTTAAGGCAAGTCCAGAAAATCATGAGAATAATGCATCACACACCGAAAACTACGGAATGGATGCAGATGTTCTAACCAGAAATAAATTTATGAGGTTAAAAACACTAAGCATATCAAATTCTATATCCTACAAAGAATATAATCAATCACAAGCTCATGTCCATTACTAAAGCATTTAAAATAGTAAAACAGTAAAATCAAAATAATGTTTAAAAAAAGAGGTACGTAGTTATATAACATCAGAATCTAGTCATATAAAGGAATTCAATGCATACATTTTTAAAATGACATTTTAGGAGTTTCTTTAATGAAGAGAGGAAAATTTGCCAGACTGATTAAGTGAAAAAAAAAAATCAGGTTTTAAAATATGACTGTAAAGATGTCCAACAGAGTCTTATCTCTGGGCCTAAAACAGCACAAGATGTGGTCACATGTATTTTGGTGAGAGCTATTTTTCGTTAGATTCACAAAGATATCTGTGACCCTAAACAAGTTAAATGCCTAACAGACATCAAAAATGGTATCTCTGTGCTACCTCTCAGTGGTTAGATCATGGGGGATTTTTAAATTTTTCTCTATAAATTGCTATATTGTATAATAAATATGCATAATTTTTATTAATAAAGAGGACAATAGATCTCTTATTATTTTGCTTCCATTGTTTTTAAAAAAATCTTATTAGAAAATTCCTCCTTCTCCCCCAAAGCACCAATATACAAAGCTTAGTAGAGTCTCAGGTTCAGACAGATCATCTAATTCTTAGATTCTTGAATTTACCCCAAAGAACCTAAGCAATGACAGGAGATTACCAGAGTGATGCTCCTCAAATTTAGAAATATTGTTTAAGAAATGTCCTGAACTAGAGAGAGCAAATCTGGCAATATCACTGCCAGGTCATTGCACCACTTTAATTCAAAGTGATTCTAAATCTTTCTCTATCCCTTTTCAATTGGACCATTTTTGAATGAAGAAAAACATATGAGTTATTGCCAGGAGCTGGGGTTCAGGGGCATGTGATAGCTATCTGTGAAGAGAACAATGTCAAGGTGACAATAGAGAGCCTCTTGTCTCAGGCGAGTGCCACACTTACCAGTTCCAGAAGAGAATGAGGAAGCAGCAAAAGCATCACCTTGGGTTGACTGGAAACCTGGGATCAAACTCTCAGCTGAGCCGCCAAGCTTTTCAGGATGTTTGCCTGGAGATACAAAATACCATTAGGTTCATTCTAGCAGAATCCTGTGATGCATCTACAAATGGTGGAGGGGAAAGGCACCCTCTGACTGCCTTTCAGACTCCTCTTACTGTATTACTGCAACATCTTGGCTATTCACAGGTCCTGTCTAGTCATTGCAATAACTGAGAAAAGGAAGGAAACTATTAAGAATCAAAAGAGACAACACATGGGTTTTGAAAGATGAAAAGAATTCTGGAGACTGGTTGTGCAACAGTGTGAATGAACTTAAAATTACTGAACTATATATTTAAAATGGCTATGATGGTAAATATTATGTTTTGTATATTTTACCACAATTAAATGTTTTTTATTTTTCGATTTTTAAAAAACTTTGCAATAGGGTTTCTTTAAGTTGTCTAGGCTGGTCTGGAATTTGTTATCCTCTTGACTCAGCCTCTTGAGTTGCTGGGATTACAGTGTGCACCACCATGCCTGGCCACAATTACGTTTTTTAAGTAAATTAAAAAAAAAGAATAAAAAGAGTGGGAGCGGGGAGAGCAGGCACATGAGAGAGAATGTGAGTGAACACAGAGCTCAAGCCTTAAAGCACAATTTCATTCCTCAAAGCAGAATACCTCCAGCCTTCACTGGGAATCTACTTACAACTTGGTTTTAAGGATTTGTGTTAAGGATCTGTTTTCTACGTTGGAAGCATTTTAGAAGTGAGAAGTGGTAAAGATGGCAGTAGTGTTATGTGAACAGAAAGGAGACAGAAAAATCACTAAAAATAGGAGAATTTAAAAAAGAAAAAAACTTGAGGTTGGTTATGCACAAAAACTACAGTTTCGACAGTCCATTAAGGTACTTATGTTTGCAGTTCAGAATGATAATTGGCACAGATAACAATGAAAGTGAGTTGCCAAAAAAGGTTAAACCTTATATCCTATATTCTGTTTAAAAACTCAGGAAAATAATATGAATAATAAAAAAGATTGCTACAAAATAATAGTTAAAGCTAAAATGTTTGGTCAACAGGTTATTGTTACAAAATAATAGTTAAAGCTAAAATGTTTGGTCCTCTTGGTTCTGGTTATACCTTTACCTGTGCTCTTGTGTACACCGAGGGACCTCTTTTCCAACTGCATATTAGAAAACTTCCACAGATATACCTATTGTTCCAAAGTGTGTGCATGTGCCTGTGTGTGTGTGTGTGTGTCCATCCTGCCTTCCAAATTAGACTATGAGTTTTCTGGACAGAATTGTATCTTTTTAAAAAATAAACTCTCCTTTCGGTGGTCAGTCAACAATAATATAGAACATTGAAAACAGTGAGAGAATCAGTGTCCATGGGAAGGCATAGGTTCATGGACAAGCAGTCATTACTTTCTGGAACAATAAACCCACCTACAAGAAGGGCACCATCACAGTCCCCAAGGAGTGAACCTGATTGACAGATCGATGCCACTGAATTGCTTTCAATTTTCTTCTTTAATGCTCCCATTGTCCTTGCTGCTACCCACCACAGGTCAGGATTTCCTGAAAATACCTCAATGTTCTGGTAAAAATAAAAGTTGACTTATATGCATATCTGGAAATCAAGCCTTTGGGGACAGGCCCAAGCCAACATTTTCACAAGCACATCCCTCTAGAGCTAACATTCCAACTCTTGCTTATTTCTCGGCATAGAGAATTTACAGGCAAGAATCACAAAAAAGGCATGGCTTTCTCACCTTCCCCCAGCTTGGCAAAGTCCTTGTTCAGCAGTTCCTCAGCTGTAAGTTTGGAGAAATTGTCATCATCAAAGGGATTCCATGTAGAACCTTCTGAAGGATTATAGACATTTTGTTGGGAGGTGCGAGGAGATCCTGATGGAGTGGTGGTTGCAGACCTAGGTAGGTTCCCACCCCCACGAGACAAAAAGACATATAAAAGTTGAACCAAACAAAAAGAGTCAAACTACTTTTTCTTTGTTTTGGGATAAAATTTTTTTTAGAGGTAATTTATCATTTCCCAGTGTTTTTCTAAAGGGGCTTTCTACAAAGTTTCCATGGATACCCTTTCCACTCAATGACATGAAGGTATCCTCTCCTTCATCACTCTTTCTGTCCCACTATTTTTTTTTTAAATCTCTTGCTTGGTTTTTCAGTCTTGTCTGCAAGGCCTTTCAGTTTAGGATCCCAAAGGAACCTGTTGTTAGGCTTGTGCATCCTATGGAGACCAATATAAGAGCTCCCACAACCAAGTCTTGGAGGCTCTGAGACTGAGGCCTTTGTAGGCTGCCTCCATCTTCCAGGATCTAGCAGCCATGGCATTAAGAGACACCATCACAATTAAAGATAAATGAAAATGGCTACTATCATTTTGTGTGTCTAGGTATCATTACCTAGTTTTCTTTTAAAGTCTTTCTTGAATTCATTTAAAGATTTTTAACTTCAGAGTTCACAGTTCCAAGAAAGATGAGTATCTGAAACTACATTTACTCAACACTCATCAAAGTCTACTTTATGTCAGGCACAGAGCCAGTCACTAGTTTACAAAAATTGACTGAGGCATGATCCTCATCTTGGAGAACTGGCAGGTACATCAGCCAGACACATGAATAATTAATGATAAAACAATGTGATACATGCTCAATAAAGGCCCAGACGCAATGACATATCAGAGGAAAGGTCAAAGAAAAGGCAACCCCTGACATTGATCTTGATGAAAAAAGTGAGCATTTCCTAAGGGAGGAGAACAGCAGCAGTCCCGGGAGAGGGCTTGGGATGAGCCAAGAGCTCATGAAGGTAGACATTGGCAAGTCCACTCATGTACAGAGCAGGCATTCCTGGGGTAACCAGTGAGTTCAGATAGCATCCCATGGACAATGAGGACCAATGAAATATTTTCAGCATGGAGACACTTGGTCAGATTGGGAGTTTAAATAACACACTGTATTGCATGTAACAAATAAGAGAATGGAAACAGTGGGCCATATAGAAATTTTTAAAAAATTTTTTTAGTTGTAGATGGATACTATACCTTTATTTTATTTATTTTTATGTGGTGCTGAGGATTGAACCCAGTGCGTCCCACCTGCTAAGCAAGTGCTCTACCACTAAGCCACAACCCCAGCCCCAGGAAATTGTTTCTTCTGAACAGAACAGTACATATACTACAAACAATTCCCTTTCTTATAAAGGAACACCTGTGCAGGGAGAATTGTGGAGGAGATGCACAAAGAACAGACAAACACATAAGGGGGAGATGCAAACAGAAAGAAGGATTGCAGACAAAAGGAATGCCTACCCCTTTCTGCCATCTTCTTTAATAACCCAAAAAGTTACATATTACCCACCACCAGTGACTATACTTTGATCAGTATTCCTTTAACCTTGAGTGCTAGCTAACTGAGATAAGGTCCAGGTTAATGCAAACACAGAGCCTCTCTCCTTCAAAGTATGTCACTATGTAAACCAGGTAGTGCATCAACATAGTTATCTTAATAGCCTCAGCAGGGACTAGCTAGCATTCCAATGAGGGTGCCAGTTTCCCCCAGGGTGTCTGCTCACTGGGGGAACATTTCTCTATTTCCATGGTCAGAATACCTACACTTTCTTCCTAAACACAGACACACACTACTATATATACATCTACACACACCCATATAGTTATTGGAAAGCATTACACAAAACACCCATGATAGACCTTGCCCACAAAGTGAGAAGAACAAAGGGGAAGCACCACATACTTGGATTTATTGAGACTGGCCTCAGCTGCAGCTGCCTGGAGCAGCTGAGTGGATTTGCTGGCAGGGACCCCAAACACAGCACTGTGGGTGACGTCACTGAGAATCCGCCTGTGCCCAGCTCGTTGGGTTTTGGGGGATGATGGAGGAGTCAGAGATCCAAGTTTCTGTCCCTGGATGGTAGGAGGTGGGGTTGTTTGAACCTTTGGCTGTTGTCTTACTGGGGCTTGAAGCTGTTAGAGAGATAGAGAAGTGTTTTATTTATTTTTTTTTTTTAAAGGAGGAGGAAAAGGAAAAGGAAAACCAAATAGATAAGCAAAACAACAACAAAATGCCACAAGTGAGCTAACATAGGACTCAAATGGTTAAGTTTACCAGTAATACTCAGAAAGAAAGAACAAAAAGAAAAAGCTTCTACAATCTGGGCTGCAACTTTTAAGACTGATTCCAGTATAATATTTGATTGTTTTTTGTTTGTTTGTAGGTGGGGATCAAACCCAGGGCCTTGTGCATGCAAGGCAAGCACTCTACCAACTGAGCTATATCCCCAGCCCTGATAATATTTGAATTTATACATAAATCCAACCTATTACCCATCAATAATATACAAGGTAACCAAATGTAATTCTGCCCACAGAGGAAGATTCAGAAGCTATTCCTAGTTCTAAAGGTCTAGAATGTATCTTTAATGACCTCTTTCTGCTTTTGAGGTCACACAGCAGCTTGTTCAGAATGCTTCCAAAGGGCAGGCAATAGACCCTACCTTCTACCACAGTTAGAAGTCAAAGAAGACACACCTCTAGCAAAATACATTTATGCTAAATGATTTCTGCTAAGCGGTCCCTGAGACTCGCCATAGCTGTGACAAGAGTGAGTCAGATGGAATTCTACTGTGACTGAAACCGGTAGTGCTTTTACTGTGCTGTTATTAAAGCTCTTCGTTTCATTGATGGGATGAGTCTACAAGATCCTGTTTCTGTGGTAACCTCTGAGAAAATGTACAGCATTGATTTAGTGGGAGTTATTTGCTCCAATCTTTAGTTTAGAAATGACATAGAAGAACCAGCAGAAAACATAATAAGAAACAAAAACACCTTTCTTGATGATGACTCAGCTGACAACATAAGGACTCTAGAGATGTGGACCATTTTTAGGAGGGCCAAACTGCTACTAAAGAACAATAAACAAGGAGAACATCCTAGTGGTCCTTCAGCATATATCATCTATATCTAGGAAAATGAACAAAACAATGTTAAGAAACTCACATAACCCATTTCCTTAATTCTGTCAATCTGAAGATAAATGACTTAGGATATTTAATGATGAATTTAAGTATCCCTTCCCTCAAGTCCCTCCTCTCATATTAAAGCTGCCTCTCCATGCTCCATGCTGCAGCCTGGTTCCCATGTTCGGTCCCTCCAGAGGTAGACCTTGAAAGCTCAGGGAAACCAGAGTATTCAGCTATTTGGTTCAGAATACTTATAGCACAGGACACTGACTGTCCTTATGTCATCCTTAGGACATGGAACATTTAGTGAGGCAGACGATGTACAAGTGCCAGTGTACCAACTACCTCATCAATGGGCAGAATGATACAATCATAGTGTTCCAGTATCAACTGAACTGAGACAAGAGTAGCACAGTTTCTGCTGAGGGAAAGCAGAGTGCTATTGAAGACCAGAGCTCCAGCCCCACCACTTCCTCTGGGGGTCCAGAGTTGCTCCTATACCAGCCAGTTGAATGCCAGCACTGATGGAGGCTAGAAGGTTTTGAGGAGAGACCTGACTGGCCTATTTTATAAGACATTCATTACTCTGAAAAGGGTACTTGTCTGTTCAGTCCCTTTTTTGATGAAGACTCCACACTACTTGGAGAACATCTTCCACTCCTCTTTCCTGTTCTCCATGTGCAGCACACTTTAGAATGGATGCCCCTATCGGGGTAAAACATCTCTAATCTGAAGATCTAAAGCCCCAAATGCTCTAAAATCTGAAACTTCTTGTGCACGACATGATGCCACACATGAAAAATTCCACACCTGACTTCATGTCTCAGTCAAAACACAGGGGTACTAAAAATATGATACCTCAGGCTATGTTTATGAGTGCATATGAAACATAAATGAAATTCATGTTCAGTCTTGGGACCCATCCCCAAGATATCTCATTATATATGCAAATATTCCAGAATCTGAAGCACTTTTGTCCTAAGAATTTCAGATAATGGATACTCAGCCTAACCTATTTAGGGGTTCTTCACAACAATCCTGTCAGCCAGGCAATTATATGTTCACTTTGAGCCAACAAAAGTGAGTTGAAAAGAGTCTTAGAAAACAGATTCCAACACTTTCACTTCAGAGGAGAAGAGACCATGGCCCACTGAGGCTAAGTTCTCACTCAAGGGCACAAGGTGGACTGGAAGAAGAATCCATACCTCCCAACCACCACTCAGGACTCTTTTCTGCACCACAATGCCTCTCATCCAAAGACAAAACTAGGGAGGGTGAAGGAGAAACAGACTGCAAAAGGAGGACAAGGCAGACTCTGATATCTAACTTGTTGAAGACTTTTTAAAAACAAAATATGTAATTATAGAAGTGTAAGCATGCCAAGAAATGTAAGAATATAGAGAAGAGTGTCTATTCCCACACTCCAATACAATCCTTATCTTTGTTGTGCCTTAAATGTAAGTCAGTTTGTCTCCTCTCCTTTCCCCTTTCCCTGTCCCTTCCCTCCCCTCCCTCTTTCTTTCCCCAGTATGGGGGATTGAATCCAGGGGCGCTGTACCACTGACCTACATCTGGAGCACTTTTAATTTTAAGACAGGGTCTCACTAAGCTGCAGAGGCTGGTTTCCAACTGTGCTCATCCTGCTTCAGCCTCCCAAGTAGATGGTATTTAAAGGCATGTACCATGGTGTATGGCCTAAGTCTTTTTTTCACGTATACACTTTTTCCAATTTTACAACTCTTTCAACATTACCTCATGAGCATTGTTCTCACATTGCTGTACAGACTCTCATACTGCTTTATGATTTTTAATGGCTGCATGGTTGGGTTCCTGAATGGTTTAGGTTGCTTCCATTCTTTGGGCTACTATTAGTAAGACTGCAATGAACCTTTAGAGCATATGGTCATTTTCCCTTTGCTGATTACTGCTTTCAGATGGCTGCAGGGTGTTCTTATATTCACTCACATGCTTCTCCAAATAAGCCCTGCCATGAGTCAGAGACACAGGGATGGGTCAAACCTGGGCAGCTCTATGGTTCCTGGTTAAGTACAGTCAACCCAGTACTCCCTAAACAATTATTTCTGAGCACAGTGCTCCAGTGTTTTTCCATGTGGGGAGCATGGAGAAGGTTTATAATTAATTCCCAATACAGCAGACACTGTCCAGGCAAAGCTGAAGGGAACCTCATGAAAAGTGATGCTAGTAGTAGTTGAGTATTCATTATCTTGAATGAGCATTTATTGCTATTATCCTAAAACACAGATCATGATTCTTTGATTATTGCCCCAGGTCTGTTATTGTAATTCGTCATGTCTCTAGGGCAGTTGCTTTCTAGTCTAGGCCTCAGATTTCAATTCCATAAAATCAGGGGACTAAGATGGATAATTAAGATCTCTTTTTATTAAGTCATGTAATAATTTTTTAAAAAACTGTTTCCATTAACAAGAAGAACTTTATCTTTTGTTAAAAATACAGAGGATAGCCATCTACCACATATTGCAGGAAGAAAGTTGTTTCATTTCAGAAACAAAGGTGTAAGCACTGAATAGACACTTGGCTGAGACTTAGAGAAGACAATCTATTTTTGGCACTGCTTTTTGAAGGGATAGAAGTTTTCTTGTTTAAGATAGTGACAAAACTATATTAGAAATTAATTCTCAGAAAAATGGATCCTTATCATCTAGTAGTTGAATTTCCTTGGGAATAAGAGAGTAGCTGTAATATTTTATCAACTACGTATCAAAAAATACCTTTTTCTATCACTATAATCTTTTCTATTGCTATCACTAAGGAAACTCTGAGTATAGAATAAAGTTTCCTTACTAAAGGGCAAAGCAAGAATGCTCAAATGTGCTGAAACTGTAGATGTCAATCAGGAGAGGGTTCTGATGCTATATTCACTCAAATTCTAAATTTACAGGATGGTTCTAACAAGTAGATACTCAGATGCTCTGGTATCCAGGATACTGTGCCATGGTACATGGTCACAGGCAAGTTGGGCCTTCAAAGGTGATACTTGGTAAACTCAAACACTGTGGCTAGTTGTGTCATTCATAAACTCAACACTGTCAAGACTCAGGGTACAGATGGAAGCCCACATAAACCCCCAGAGACCGGGAAGGGCACAATGGATCAATCTGCCTCTTGAAGAAGGGAAAAGGATTAGCTCAAATCCTGAGTCCTTGACTATTTGATCATAGCACTAACAGAGACAATGAACAGCCTAATGCCAGGGTGATAAATTAAAATGTATGCCTTCATCAGTAACCTTGAATAATTTTTTTAGAACTCTGTCTTCTACAGAATACTTCATGCTGTCCTTGGATGTATCAAGCAAAGATGAAATCTTTTAACTGTAGGGATGAGAAAGCAACCTGGTCCCCCTCACAACTGCTGCCATCTCTTACTGCCCTCTCCCTGGCCCTCAATGCTCACTCCTCTTCTGCCTTTCACCCTGAGCCCTGGTTCTTACTGTGGGCTCCTGAGCAGATGTTGGCTGGGGGACAGAGGCAGGCTGGGCCTGGGGCTGTGGTCCTGCTGCTGCCAGGCTCTTTTGCTGCAGAGCTGCCTGCTGAGTCATCAGCTGTTGCTGATGCAAAGCTGTGGCCAACTGTTGTTGCTGCTGTTGTTGCTGCTGCTGCTGCTGCTGCTGCTGTTGCTGTTGCTGCTGCTGCTGGTAGAAGTTCTGCATCAGCTGCTGTTGAGTGCCTCCCTGGGACACCACAGGGAACTGGGCAATGGCTGGTTGCTGGGTTCCTGAATGTACTGCCTGAAACTGAGAGGAGAGAATGGCAAGAAACGAGGAGGTGAAAAAGGTCCTGTAGCAGAAACACATTCACAAAGATCAGTGGTGAAGCCAAAGGCAAGAGCAGGTAGAAGTCTTATTACCTGGTTCATAGAAATCTCAGGTCATTGAAACAAACACAGCAGTACCTTACATTGCTGAACCATACCCACTGCTTTAGAATGGTTTCCAAGTGGGTTTCTATGCCTAGGCTGAAGGAAGCTACCTGACTTAATAAACATCAGGTGGCTCCACAAGCTGATATGTAACAGAAAAAAATAAATGCTCTCCCGATGACAGAAGTAATCCTTCTTATAAGGGATTTTGAAGTAGTCAAGATTAAAATGCTTCCTTGCATGCATAGGATAATACAATGTTGACACTGAAAAGAATAACATAAATGTTAACCCAGCTACTGAAACTCATATCAAGGCTTTCTGAAAATTATTTCCCAATTGCTCTACTTTATGAAAACTCTACCATCTTTATTCAAAATATTCTGATATTTCGTTATAATTTTTTAAAAAAAATTTTTTTAGCTGTAGGTGGACACGATACCTTTATTTATTTATTTTTATGTGGTGCTGAGGATCGAACCCTGTGCCTCATGCATGCTAGGCAAGCGCTCTACTACTGAGCCACAATCCCAGCCCTCGTTATAATTTTATAGTGGGGTCATCCTACCTTGCCCAGGCTGGTCTCAAACACCTGGGCTCAAGTGATCCTGCTGCCTCAGCCTCCCAGGTAGCTGGGACTATAGACTTGCCAGCATGCCCAGCTTTTATAACACTTCTTACATGTCTCTCCAATCTCCACTGCTAGGAACTATGTCCTAGGCACATAAACAGAGCTCAAAATAAGGCCCTACTGATGAACAAGATCTTCTTTGGGACACCCTAAATATAGTTACCTAGCTACAGAGTTAATTTGGAGGATACCATTTGTCTACTGGGGACAAAGTTAAAGGGTTAGCAACAAAGCAGATGTCAAAATATAGCTGCCTATTTATAACCGAAAAATGATGGAAACAACCCAAATGTTTATCAACAGTAAACTGAATAAACTATGACATATCCTGAAAATGCCAAATGGATACTCTCAAGTTGTATAGAGGAATGAAAGATACTTCTACAGATGGGTTAGAGGGGATAGAATTTTGTAGATTTAACTCTGAAACAATGTAAATGGTTATAATTCATCAGAATTAAACCAAAATTGAAAAACAATAATGAGCCAGGCACAGTGGTACATTCCTGTAATCCCAGAAACTCAGGAGGCTGAGGCAGGAGGATTCCAAGCTCAAGGTCATCCTTGGCAATTTAGCAAGATCTTGTCTCAAAATAAAACATAAAGGCTTGGGTTGTAGCTTAGTGGAACAGTGCCCCTGGGTTCAATCTCTAGTACTAAAGGAAAAAGGAAAAAAAGCAATAACTAAAAATGAAAAGCAAAATGATACAAAGAAACCAGTATACAGAGGTAATTAACTATAGTCAGGAATGTGTGTAGGGCGTGGCTGGAAAAGTAGGTCACTGGAGTGTGCCTTTGGGGTTTATATTTTATCCCTGGTAAGCAGAACTCTCTGCTTCCTGGTGGCCATGTTTTAAGCTACTCTCCTTCTCCACACCCTTCTACTGTGGTGTTCTGCCTCACCTTGTGCTCAGAGTCATGGAGTTAGCCATCTAATGGATCGAGACCAATAGAAACTGTAAGCTCCAAATAACTTTTCCTCCTCTATGTTGTTCTTGTCAGGTCTTTTGTTCACATGATGATAAAGCTGAATAAAACCATTCCCTAGGTAATAATGTGTGAAACATTTTAAGAATAAAATGGGCAAAGAAATCTTATACTGATTTTTAGTAATCATATTGGTATTATTATCCTGAAACTATAAACTAATTAATTAACTATGTTAATGCTGTTAGGAATCAAGATTTCCAGATAAGTAAAACACAACAGAATCCAAAAAGTTAAACAAAAATCCTGTAACTACAAATTTGAATTAGTAATATAAATCTGAATTCATAATGTATATTTTTTTCATTGTCGATGGACCTTTATTTTATTTATGTATATGTGGTGCTGAGAATTGAACTCTTCCACTGAGCTACAATCTCAGCTCTCATAATGTATATTTTCTAATAAAACAAAACACATTTTCTAACTGTACACTGAAAAGGCCAAGAAATAACCACAAATCCATTAGTAAGTGAGTATGTCTAGCACCAAATGGTAGGTTCTAAATATCATTTCCATTAAAAAAATAAACAGCTCCTTAGAAAAACAGATAATTCCAGGTCAAGGACAGAATGATCCTAGAACAGTGTGTTATCCTCAACGGCAAGGCAATCATTAAAGACTACCAGAGTCACTCATATCCAAAGAACCAGGAAACCAATTTGAAAGTACTTCCACTGGCCAAAATAACTAACAGACAATTTGAGCCTCAAAATAAATTTTTAAAAAATGCAATGTATTGAAAGATATCAAACATGTTAAAATTCACAAATTCATAATGATATGAAACAAAAACTTCAAAGTCACTTTTGGATGATGGAGTGAACAAATTCATTATTCCAAAAACTGGCAAGCAAAGAGAAAGAATCAAGCATTTCTCTTGCCTTTCTGAATAAATAGTGCCTCAGGGTAACTAAATAGTTGATGAAAAAAAGTTCTTCATAGAAAAATTCCAGGCCCTAAGTGAAGTGGGAATGCTAGTATATCATTTTGCTATTGCTAGTGAATTAATGGACTTAGGAAATAATCAGCAATGGCTGGCAAGCTAATGAGAAACATTAATAAAATGGATGAGTCAGACAACACCTTAACACACTGAATGGTCTCAACATCATTAAAGGAGAAGACAACCAGATATTAGAGGCATCCTGATGTGACGGAAAAGGAAAAAGCAAGAATTGCCAGACCAAATGGAATATTGAGCAGGCCTTGGGAAACTACCAGTTTTCAAGAGACAAAGGAACATACCAAATGATACCATGAGGCAATCAAGCCAAATCCAGAATGCAGAACATTCCACAGAGCAACTAACCCAGTTTCTTAAAAAAATGGAAAAGGGGAGAAGGAACATTTAGAAAAGGGAAAAGGGAACTTAAGAGATATATTAATTACTATAAAATGTGTTTATAGTATAAAATGTGAAAAATTATAAGTAAAGATAATGGAAAAAATATACCAAGTAAACAAAACATGTGGGCCTTGCTTGGATGCTGATTTTAAAAAGCCAACTTAAATTATGAGACATCAGAAACAGTTGAACATGACTGGGCTTTTTTTTTTTTTTTTGGTCAGTACTGGGGATTGAACTGAAGGCCTCATGCATGCTAGCTGAGACTGGCCTCAAATTTGTGATCCTCCTGTCTCAGCCTCCTGAGTTGCTAGGATTACAGGTATGCATGACCACATTCAGTACTACTGGAATATTTGATCAGAAAAAAATCATAGTTTTTTTTTTTTTTTTTTCCCTTCAGTATGTCCTTGAAACCCTGAAAAATAGCACCTTCACTGAGTTCGTCAAGCATGTGATAAATTCTCCATGGCCTGAAGAGAACAGTGAATGGGCTGTGAATTATCAATCTACTTCTAAATGCCTTAGTTATCTATGAGAAACAATGATGTAATAAAGGAATGGCTCTCCATTGTCCTAGCACTTCTAAGGAATACATCTGTACTTACTGGGCCTTTTCACAGTCACGATTCAGCCTGGATCACCTTACCTGCTGAGCCTGGGCCTGCTGCTGCTGGTAAAATGTGCCTGATGGCTGCTGTGGCTGCTGCTGTGGCTGCTGCTGTGGCTGGGGCTGGGGCTGCGGCTGCTGTGGCTGCTGCTTGAGGAAGAGCTGTTGCTGGTGCTGGGGTGTGGCCTGGGCCTGAGATGTTGTCAGACCCTGGGCTGGGGTGGAAGGCGGCTGCTGTGGGGTGGATGGAGCCTGTGGCTGCTTGGGCTGAGACTGAGGCAGAGGCTGGCTGGGTGGGGCTTGGGCTTTTGGTTGAGGAACACTGGTCAAAAGCCCAGGTTGATTGCTGGGTCCTACAATAAGAATAAACTCCATATTAGACCTCAAAACTCTTCTAGATGAAAAACAGCTTTCTGATTTGTCAAAGTAGTAGAAAGGGGATGATAATTAGGCAGATTATTCTAAGATCCATGTGCTCCACACTGTCTGTCCACATGCTCTGTTTTCCCCAGAATGACTTTCCATCTTTTTTGCCAAACTGTGCTTTAAAATTTTCAAAACAGGGCTCAATAACAAGATGCAATATTTGATTCCTTTAGAAAGCAGTCCTTTATCCATCATCCCAATTAGCCAATTCTCCTTTAGTTAGCAGCCTGAGTATCTACAGCCAACTGGCCTTTGCTGCTACTGTAGGTAAACACAATCTTTGTATCAGTTGGCTTGCTGCATGACAAAAGAATTCTTCAAATGTTTTACCTATAGTTTACATAACCCCCACCTGGAAGCCTAAATGTCTGGCAGAATTTACCAAAAGCAGCTTCCTCCTAGGGGAAGCAATATAGTTGTATTCCGTTACTTGATATTTTGAATCAGTTGGGGTTTTTTGGTACTGGGGATTGAACCCAGGGGTGCTTAACCACTGGGCCACATCCCAACCCTTTTTATTTTTTGAGACAGGGTCTCACTAAGTTGCGAGACTGGCTTTGAACTTAGATCCTCCTACCTTAGCCTTCCAAGTTGCTGGGATTACAGGCATGCACCACTGGGCCTGGTAGATCAATTGTCTTTATAAAACAAAGTTTACTCATCTAATTAGAAACAGAATACCAAAATACAAAAGGGTGATAGATATTTCAAGAAACAAAACATTATGGAATAAAGAGGTAGGTATGGGAAGAACAGATCAAACCACAAAGTCAGGGCCAAGATGAGAAAATATAGAGATGACAGCCTTCAGTAGTCTTAAAGATCCATCTTAGAATACAATAAGAGGTCTCCACTTTTGCAGCCACTGGCCGTACAATTTCAAAGGTAATTCACTTCATTATTCTTTATTTGCCTCTGGATTCCATTCCTAACATGAAACCAGGCTCTCCAACACTTCTGTAATAAAGAGGTACACTCACTTTCAACCCAGTCTAGTAACTGACCTGCAGCCTGAGGCGGAGGCTGAACTGTGGCTCTCTTCCGAGGTGTCAGAGCTGGCTGGATGGGAAGGATTCCTGGATTTGGCTGAGTCTGCCCAGCTTTAGGCCTCTGGCGGGGTGCAATTGAAGTTTCTGTGGTAGGAATGGGATCTGTCAGTCTAGAAAAGGAAAAGTGGGGGGAAAAAGATTCATGTCAAGAGTGGGAAAATGGGAGATGAGTGGGCAGAGTACATAACCCTTTCCCCTCAACCCTTACCCAAACCTTCCAGATCTGCTTAGTCAATAATTCTCAAAGGCCCATAGGATGTTATTAATTTCTTTAAAAAGTGCTTACTGGGCAAAAATGATTTTAACACAAAGATGGAATTATATTGAGCAGATTTCTTTCCAGCAGATCTTTTCATGTGTGAATATGCATGGTGAATCTATATGGAATGCAATGTTTCTCAAGCTTATACACTTTTTTTTTTAACATTTATTTTTTAGAAGTAGTTGGACACAATACCTTCATTCTATCTATTTATTTTTATGTGGTGCTGAGGATTGAACCCTGGGCCTCGCACATGCTAGATGAGTACTCTACCGCTGGCTGAGTCACAATCCCAGCCCAAGCTTATACACTCTTGAAACCTTTTTCTCTAATACCTCCTAGGATTTCCCAGGATACACTATGGGTAATGATGCTAAAAGAGGTTTGAGGAGGGTGTTCTTTCAGAGATACAGGGAACTCAAACTTGGTTGAAGACAGCTGTCAAAAATGGTCTCTCTAGCTGGGTATGGTGATGTACACCTATAATCCCAGCAACTCGGGAGATTGAGGCAGAAAAATCTTGAGTTCATAGCCAGCCTGGGCAATTCATTGAGACCCTGGCTCAAAATAAAAGGGCTGGGGGCTCTGGAGATGTAGTTCAGTGGTATAGCACTTGCCTAGCATGCGTGAGGCCCCAGGTTTGATCCCCAGCACTGAAAGAAAAGGAGAAAAAAAAAAAGGTCTCTACAATGAAAAGCAAATGAGTGAATCCAACAAGAAGGAATAAGTAAATAATCTGAGGTAAAAAAAATTAAAATTCAGGAGTATAACAGAAACACCGCCACCACTCCCGCACCCTCCCCCCCTTTTTCAGTACTAGGAATTGAATCCAGAGTTGCTCTACCACTGAGCTACATCTCTAGCCCTTTTTATTTTGAAATAGGATCTCCCTAAATTGCCCAGGATAGCCTTGAACTTGGGTTTCTCCTGCTTTAGCCTCCCAAATTTCTGGGACTATAGACATGTGCAACCTTGCCCAGCATGTACTCCTTTACCAGAGAAATAAAAATTTTAGCTTACCACAGTGTTATCCAGAGTAAAAGAATCACCTATTCTAGCCTCTTTTGTGACCAAGTGTGGCCATTTGTCTAAGCTCTAGCCTTACATGGAATGTAAAGAGGTTGCTATTTGGCAGTTTAGAAAAACCTTAAGAAATAACTGATATATTCCCTTTTCCTATCTTCTTTGGCCATTCCTTGATCCTGCTGCTTTGGATGGGAAGAGGCTGCTACACTGATCTATGAGGTCACTGGCCACACCTGTAGGGATGGTAGAGTGATGAGCATGAAGAAATCTGGGTTCACGAAACAGAACTGCCATATAAGACCTGGCCTACTCACCTCCAAACTTTGTTTACTTGTGAGAAAAAAATTAACACCTATCTCCAATAAGACACCATTATTTCAGACTTTTTGTCCAAAGTAACAGAGGGATGTGCCATGTGGCCCACTTAATTCCTTGTGATGGTGTCGAAGTCCATCATTCATTTATAGTAGTTTGGGCAGCTAACTACGACCTAACTCAGATCAGAGTCCACTGCCCTTTGAAAATTGCACTTAAGGAGTATAAATGAGGCTAAGGCCAAAATAAACAAACTTCATGAGTATTTCCAAAATATGTCTGGCACAGCCTCCATGAATGCAAAACAGGAAGCAAAAGAACTGGCCCTATGTCCTTCCCATGATGTATCTCTAAAGTATGGCTCTCCTTGGCCCAGAAACCTCTCAATGACATCCTGTTAGATGCTCTTATGCTGGGCAGAGAATTGATAATATGTAAGTTATCTCATCTGGAGTGGCTGTAACCTGCATAAAGGAAGTGGGAGGGAAAAGTGTGACAGATTTTGGAGGACAGGACAAGTGTAAGAGAAAAAGCCCAGGGTCAGGGAGGTGAACAGACTTCAGTGGAAATCCAAACTCAAAACTCTTCATATTGGTTTCCTGAGGGGAACATCTTAGAAACACATGGGATTTAGAGTCAACAAAAAAACATTTGAGCTCTAGCTCCCTACTAATTTGTGTGATGATGGACATGTCATTTTAGCTCTTTCAGCCTTAGGTCATTTATGTGTAAAACAAGGAAACATGCATATGTATCAATAAATATGAAATTGCTTTGTAAACTGTAGAGTGCCCAAAATGTCAGCTGCAGGGCCATCACTTGTGTGGATACAGAAAGGATCCTCATTCAACCTTTGTACATACCACGTTTGGGTTTTGTACATGATTAGTATAAACCAAGAAGATTGAGATAATTAAATCAGCCCCCAAAACAATCCCCAAAGAGGTGAGCAGGGCAATAATTAATGTCAGAAATTTACAAATAAAAGTAACAAGGTTTGCTTGTTTGTTAAGCAAGTCTGCTAACTTTATTAAAAAACAAAGTCATTACTTTAGAGCCACACCTGGAATAATTCTACCCACACAGTAGGCATTCTGTAAATATTCAAGACATTTTAAAAACACAGTTTACTTTAAAGTAAATTACTTTCCTGTTCTATTAAAATCCACATATTACCATTTCAGGTCCTTTATTGACACTGTTTGCTGCTAAATATTTCCTTACCCCAGGAGGAGGGGCAGAAAAAGGAGGAGCATAATCATGTTCCTGGCCACCCCCAGAATTTGTCATTTGGAAAGTATGACAGCTACAGGGCAGTGCCTGGCAGATTTTCGGCTATACGGATGTGAAAGACCAATGCCCAGCTGCTGTGCTCTGGGTTTACCCTGAGACCACGCTTCCCATAGATTGAGTTCAGTTCTAACATTCCATCCACTGATTCCTATTAGGGAACCTTTCTGATAGCTGATTCTGGTATAAGGGATCCCCAATATCTTTGGTAAGCTTTCCTTAAATTGTGTGGCAATCGGAGACACTTTCTCCAGGTCAGACTTGCAATTTCTGACCTTCTCCCAGCCTTTTCCTGGCTCCTTCCCTGTTTCTCCCTGGGGTTTTTCCCCTAACCATGTCTCAGCATCTTTGTATGTATAATGGTCTCTTGGCATTTGCTTCCCAGAAGACTGAAGGTGCATAGAATGTGATTAGCTTGTACTAATGTTGCTGGAGCCACAGTAGTAAAAAGAAAAGGAAGGCAGATGACTAGGGTGGTGAACATGTCTAACCACATACCAGGATGCATGTTAGGACACTCCTGTGCCAGCAACATATAAAGTCTGCCCTTGCCTCATCACTGAATACCCCTGCTACTGTTCCCATGCAAAAGAAACAGCTGTAGTGTCTTTGATTCTCTTTCAAACGTAGATCACACTATTTTATTATATTCCTCCTGGCACTCCTGAAGAATAGTTTCTGCCTAGGGGAGACAGGTCTTGGTTTCCTGATCTGTGCAGTCGCTGGTTATGGCAAAATGAGAATTAAGAAACACAGGCATTCTCCACTGCGGTGCCCCAGCAGGATGCTCATGAAGGCACTTCTTACCTGGCTTTTGGCTGGGTCTTTTTTGCAGCTGCCTCACTGGCTTTCACTGGTTCGGGAAGTTTTGCAGGAATAGGAGAATTCTAAGGAATTGAAAAGAGAAAAAAAAAAAAAAAATATATATATATATATATATATATATAAAGGACATCACAAATTTCTCTGTAAAAGAATAACCAACCTGATGGAAAAGAAATTACATTTGAGGGTCTTTGGGTGTGACTTTCAGGCACTTTTCTCCCTGTTAGAAGGAAGTTAACCAAATACATACCAGACCCAGACACCAGTGGGAAGCAGATGGCTGTGAAGAGGTGAGCATAAGCACACACTCTCCTGGACCACTTTCCCCTTCTGCACCAGACAAAGCTCACTGGGGCTTAATCTTGGTTCCCTTCTCCTTGGTGTAGTTCAGAAGTGATGATATAAAAGGAATGGGAAAGAAGTTGTATTGTTCAAGCTCTAGTTATATCTGAGAGACATCAGAGCTGACTCAGGTGCCAAGCAGGGTGCATTCCATCTTCCAGTCAGAATGCTGGGAGAAAACCATAGCCACCCTGTATGTTTGGTGGCTAAGCGAGTGCCCCTTCCCAACATGGGGAGCACTACTCACTCCACAAGCCAAACACTGTTCTTCTAGCTTGACTTCTGCACCATTCAACACTGCATCTTGAGGGAGCACCAGCTAGCTGTACTGAACCACAAAGCAAGTGCTTGCTACTCCTGAGAAAGTGCCAAAAGAAATGAGACTGATGAAGTTTACTTTTTATAAACTAGATACCAATCTTAATGTTTCCAATTATATTTCACATTATTTATTTGATAAATGGGAAAGTGCAACTGTAAAAGAAAACATGGTCATGTAAAGTTACTGTACCATATCCCTTGTTTCCATCTTGGA